TTGTATAGACAAAAGTACAAAGCAGTGAAAATCATTAATAGACAATCGTTCGATGAGCTGAATTGCAAAAAGCGCATGATCGCACCGGCTGGTCTGGTGCGCGTTGCTATTTATTAAAAATTCTTTCTAATTTCATAATTCTTCAGCCCTTCCTAATTGTAGGAAGGGCTGAATAATTACGAAATTAGAAAGAATTCTTTTCCGTTCTTTCGAACTTGATTTAAAATTTTGATCATTTCTTGCAAAATTCCGCATGTATTGAATTCCTTATAACGTTGTTTTCGTATAAATAGCCCGAGACAGTCTTTCGCAGACTTCAGTCTTTTGTATCAGCCTTAGTGCATTATGTATGTTTTCAGTGCAGATGGTTTTCTGTTACCCAAAGTTTTGCTATCATGCAGCCTCTATCACAGTGTTTGGCAATTCGAGATACATTTAGACAATAGTCGATCGTTGAAATTACTTGATCACCGGGCCCTTGTTTTTTTCATTGCTGTTCTTGTCACGCACAAAAGTGGTGCCTGAATTTTGTTCACAGTATTGATTTTTAGCTTGTGTCACTGGCGATGGACGGTACCACGGGTGCTATTCAGGATCGAGTTCGCCAGCGCTATACGGCTAATGCTCACAGTATGATGTACCAAATGAACGCTTTCTCATCGCTCTATCTGTTGGTTGGCTTGCTTCTCACCGGTGAATTGCTCTCTTTCATGGCATTTGTGCGCATTTATCCGAGTGTCATGCTACAGATGATCATCTTAGCAATTGCGAGCGCAGGAGGACAGGTACTTCTAAAATTTTTAAAAATTTGTTTCGATAGAACCGATCTCTTAGCTCATTCTGTTGCTCTTTTCTACGATTTTGAAGAATATATGAGATTTTTTCGGTTGAAAATTGCATGCGCAATAAGTTCGATAGAAAATCGGGTGTATTACATTTTTGTGCATGCAAGCCTGCCTTTCTGCGGTTTTTTCTTGTGCAGATCTCTCAGTTTAGGTTGATTTTGCTTACGCTAGTTATTGCGTTTTATTAATTTTTTTTTTTTTTTTACATAATTTACCCGGTTCTACATTAGCATCGATAACTTTCACTAGTTTTATATCTAACAACCCGCTGATTTTGACCGTAGTTTTATTTCTTTTTACGTAAACTACGGGTGAAAGTGGAGCGATTTCTTAAATGTTTGTTTGTTGGGCAAAATAGGAACTTTGTTTTCCACAGTCTTACCAGACCTGAACTGTCCTTTTTTGTTCGGATTTAACTTCTCTGTTCTTTCAGTTCTTCATCTTCAAGACGGTGGCCGAATTTGGCCCATTAACTTGTTCTATTGTGACGACCACTCGTAAGCTGTTTACGATGCTCGGCTCGGTCATTCTGTTCGGCAATACGCTCACGCAGCGGCAGTCGGTTGCCACCGCGATTGTCTTCATCGGCTTGCTTCTCGACGCTATTGAGAGTAAAAAAAAGAAAAAAGTGAAACAGGTCACTGACAATAACAATTTTGCTGAAAGTAAATTGTTATGACATTTTGGCTATTTCTGATACTCTTTGTGTTTGTCTGTTTGTATGTGTTATGCTGTTTTATGAAGCAAGCATAGCTGGTTGGTTTTTTTTTTCCTTTCTTGTTATTTATTAATTTTTTGCTTATTTGATCTGTGAAACATAGTCATATAAGGCGTGCCTGATGATTGCATAGTAAGGAACATGCACAAAGTGCTGTAGTTGGTTTCTGTAAAAGATGATACATTTTAAAAGAGTTTTGGTTGTAATATTCATTTGGATGGTAAATCGTTGTCGTACCCTTCTCTCTATAGACAGACATTTGTAATTTGCACTTCCCATTACCGGCAAATAAGCTATTCATTGATTATTGGACAAAGTATTATTTAACATCGTATTATTTTAGTTTGCCCTGTTTTTCGGTGATATCACTGATACACTTATCTAGTCATGAATACTGTTAGAAAAAGCATTTAGATCAGAGTGTTATTTGCAACAACAAGCAGTATAAACTCCTTAACCACAAGCAACTATTTAATCTGAGAATGGAACGATATCGATATATCATTGAGACTGAAACATTCCTATTTAGCTGTTTAATTACAATTTGATACCCGTAAACTTTCCCCGTTATCATGCCAGAAATTGTTCGTTCTTCAGAAAGTAGCGGAATTTCTAATTTAAATTTTAGTTCATTCCTTTGATTCTTGTAAAATCGCTAACTGTGATGATTTTTGTCGATATGCTGTGATGAAGTGATTACCGGTTATCAGATCATTATTGAAATTGTCTGAGCTTGTGCTGTTGCTTTTGTCCTCACTGCGTTGTCGC